TGGCTCCATGTAAATTTCTAGTTAATGAAGTCAAATTCGTGCGTTTGGATCTTTTTTTTTTTTAAGTCTAAATTTTAGAGTATTGAGCAAACCCTAAATTGCCATCAGCTGCTCGACGGTTAATTAACTAATATATGTAAACAAAGCTTTCAGTGGTTGAACAAAGAAAATTTCCCCCCTGTGATGATGAGAAGTCAACCGTGGGACGAGGACCTGTATCGATCATGTTTATCTTAATTATTGAATATATTGATACATTAAAATAATTCTTACCGTTTCCATACTCCTTGTCTTTACATTTTCAGATGTGACAAACATTCAATTCGAATGAAAGCAATAGTTTTCTGCCGAAACCAGTTCGAATAGAATAGAAACCATTTTTTTTTTTTTTTGGGTATTTAGATTTTAGGTAATGTAGATGGACATGAGCAGCAGCAACTATCTAATCAAGGGGTAAAACTTAAAAGGTTGAATCTTTGCTGTCATGGAAGATTTCTTATTTTATTTTATAATAGTCGGTGCCCATTAGCTTATCATGCATTATTAGTCCAATCATTTCTTATTTCTTCTTTCTTATTTTTCTTTTTCTTTTTTTCCCCATTCAAAAGAGAGATGATTGTAAGCTAAAAGCCACACAAGAGAATCTTTCACATACCAAATTAGCAACGTACAAAACATAATTCCTATGTATCCGCCTACTCTCTGATCGCTCCGCGCGCTTAGGGCCTGTTTGGTTGTTTTCCTTAAAATCAGAAGAAAAAAAAATGAAGAAGATCGATGAGGAAAACATCAAACAAAATTTCCTCCAATTTCCTCAATAAAAACATGAAATTGATGTCCTAAAATGTGAGCCACATCAACCAATAAGAATTTGTCACATCATCATTTTTCTTGGTTCCGAGATGTGAACCAAACAAAGAAAAGGAAAATGTTATGAAAAACTTACCGGCCACAAGCTGTACTTTTTCTCTATTTTCTTTTTCCTTCATTTTCCATAGATTTTGGGGAAACCAAACAGCCCCTTAGCAACAATTGCCGGCCCTTGCGTACTTATGGGGTCCTTTCTGCAAAATCAAACTCAACTACCTCTCCATGTGCTCAGACAAATAGATAGATCCTTATGCAGTCTACCATCAGACATTTGCTCTAATTTTTCTAGTGCAACCCATGTGAGTTTGGAGGCCACATAACCTTCTCTCTATATCTCATGGAATCCAATGCTAAAAGGTCCAAACTTCCTTGCAAAGAGAAAAGGGTAGAAAGGCAAAAAAAAAAAAAAAAAAGAAATGAAATGACTAAAGGGGGCTTAGAGGTACAAAGGAGAATGATGGAGGAAGATGGTGGGCATAGGAAATGCCATGCTGAGATCTAGTTGCTTCCCATGTGGGCCAAGGGGCAGCGTTTTGTTATTCCTCAATGAGAGAACAAGAAAGTGTTAGTGATGTTTAAACAATGATTAAGGCACGTCTTTGTCTTAATAGTAATACTTAATTTGGAACCCCACAACTAACTTGATATATAGTTGTTTGCTGAAGAGAGCAAAATTATATGTGAAAATTGTTACAAGCTAGGGTGATTTCCTTGGTTAAACTTGGTACTGCCGCTAATGATTGGTAACTAATTAATGGAACATTAATGGCCTCATTTGGGACCTTTTCTTTTTGGAGCAATCATCGTGCTCTATAGGGACTCACAGGGATATAGTTGATGTAGAACACACAGCAGACATGTTTATGTCAAAGTGGGACAGTCGCAAGCCCAAATGCGGGCCTGGTCAAAGTGGGACAGTCGCAAGCCCAAATGCGGGCCTGGTCGAAGAAAATAACTAGTTTCGAAGAAACGGACGTAACTTTCAAACCCGCAAGCCCAAATGCGGGCCTGGTCGAAGAAAATAACTAGTTTCGAAGAAACGGACGTAACTTTCAAACCCTACGTCGGAATTAGACGAATTATATATAAAAATCGACTATCTCGACGAGAAAGAACCATCCAAACCAAATCCTTAGGGTTTGGTTTGCATTCTCCGTTTCGCCAAATTCGTTACGGTTTGAGAGATACTTGTATTTTTGTCCGTTTTTTACTATTTTTAGTAATTTTTTAGGAGTCTATTTTGTTTAGGAAACAAATCCGATTTGATCTCAGATTTGACCGGTGGACTTTCCAGGTAATAAGGAGTCTTTTAGGAGTTTTAATATTTTAGGAATTTTTTTACTATTTTTGGTAGAGTTTTGAGTCCTTGTAAGAGTATTGTTTCTTTTTTCTATTTAAGAAGAGTCTTGTATGCCCTAGAAGCATAACTTTTGATTAATAAAATTTCGTTTTTCTTTAATATTTACTTCGTGGATTTGAAGCTCTTCGTGGATACGAAGATTATTCTTAGTGGATTCTGAGGCTACAACTTCCGCGCTGCGTGAATAGTACTGCTACCCAACTATTTCTATAGCTATAACCTTCCTCCATGAATTAAGCCGTTGGCTTTGCTCGCCTTTGATCATCGATGAACAAACAGCGCTAGCATCGAATAATTTCATACGCTGAAACAAAAACAGCCGACGCTGCTTATTTTACCCAAAAGAAGCTTATTATATATTACTGTATATGAATGTGACTACTAGACTTGACAAACAAAGTGCTGGCACAGTCATTTCCACTTCCCCATAGAACTATATTAAAAATGGAAAATACAAAAAAGGGTAAACGATTGATATGATTGGATTCCTGATCTGAGCTAAGGTGACAATATAATCAATTAATAATACACTTTTGACTGCACCATATGCATACGTGACTAGACTATCTTTTACTTTTTCAAATTTACTATTTCTAAGTGTAGAGTATATATATACTTGTTAATGGTTGGAGCGTGCACTTTTTGTATCTAAATGTTATATGTCATATCATATCAAATTTATTAAAGCTGATTTTAGAGTGGTGTGTTGGATAAAAACAAATTAAGAGCAATTCAATCAAAAAAAAAAAGTGTGATCGCACTTACTTCATATATATTGATAATGCTAGTGAAATACACTAGCTACGTGGACATAACAAACGCAACACAAAGCCTTCATTAATTAGGGCTAATTCTTAGGTGCTCGGTCCATCAGTATCAAGATTTTCAATTTCCGTCTAGGATGCTAAATCCCGCGACGGAAAATTTCCGTCTGTATTATTCCGTCTGGAATAAATTATTCTAGACGGAAATTTCCGTCTAGAGGGTATTCTAGACGGAAATTTTCGTCTAGAATAAGCACTGTACCTTTTTTTTACATTTTAATTTCAAAAAAACGTGGGTCCCACTATTCCAGACGGAAATATCCGTCTGGGAAGTATTACAGACGGATTATTCCGTCTAGAATAGTGGGACCCACCTAAAGAAAATTCCCCTTTTCCTTTTAATCCTCTGATCGCAGCCCTTCGAACCCCCTCTCGAAAATTTCAGATCCCCTTTTCTTCGATGCTATCCAAGAATTTTCAGATCCCCTTTTCTTCGATCCCCTCACGAAAATTTCAGTTCCCCTTCTCTTCGATCTGAGCTAGGGTTTAAACCCTCCGATCGCAGCCCTTCGAACCCCATCGCTTCCCCTTCGATCTCGGCCACTCTCTCCAAACTCGTCGCCGGCGAGATACCCCGCTGCCGCCGAGAAACCAAGTTCTGACTCAACGTACGCACGCAGGTAACCTCTGTCTCTCCGATCCCCTCTTCCCTTCTCCTCTCTCGTCGAAACCCTAGATCTGAGCTAGGGTTTCGATCTCCCCCTTTCTCCTCTCTCTCCCCGTGTACAACGGAACCCTAGATCTGAGCTAGGCTTTTCTCTTTTGTAGCTTATTTCCTCCTCTCTTCGGGTTGCTCTCCTCAAGCTGCTGCCATTTGTGATTGGGTTCAAGGTATGGCTTCGAAAATTGCTGTTTTTAAATTTTATATGTTTTTTGTATATTAATCTCTCAAGTACCAATTTTGACAATTCCATATTAGTTTTGGAGTTGCTCCGAAGTCCTTCAAATATCACAATATATGAGATTTGTTTTCTACTTACTCTTGTGCTGGACATATTTTGGTAATGTGAAAGGGCAAATTGATACGAGACAGATTTAGAACCTTGTTTACTCCAACCAGAGATGTCAATAAAGCAGACAGTATGTTTCTGGCCGCCGATGGCTTGCGTGTCGACCGTTTTCAATGTTTGTGGTCTTGCTAACAACAATATTTTAAATTTAGTGTGAGTTATAGAAGAAAATGTTTTCAAAAGAATAGAGTGATATATAACACAATATTATATAATAATGTGTTATATATCCAATTTAGGTGAAAAAATATCACGTTATCTTTAGACTCCCGTCCAATAATTACATCCAATTCTTTGAGGTTATAATATAAGATAAACGACTCGAATTTTTGGGAAGGAGATAAAGTTTTCTACTCAAAAATGATCGTTCATTTTATATTATACTAGGAAAGATTTGGTATATAAATTTGTAATTATTGGATCTGTCCTTCTCAGACGGGTTAGGAATATAGTAGTGCATACATCCAACTTTATATACTTTGTATGTTTCCATTTCTTGAAAATTTTGGCAACTCGTACCTGTTGTTCTCCGTGTACAATAAGCGTATGTTCTGCGTTTTGGTATATTATCAATACTTGTTCTCCGTGTACAATAAGCGTATGTTGTTCTGCGTTTCGGGCTATTGCTGATACGCATAATAACATCCGCACAGTGTACAGGGAGAACAACGGGTAGGTGCTGCCGAAATTTTTAGGAAATGAAAATATACAAAGTATATGAAGTTGGATGTAAGCACTACTATATTCTTAATGGGATAGAAGCCTTCCTATGACAGCCGTTAGACGGTGCTAATTAGTTGAAGCTACCTTAATGAGTTTCAAACATAAGTCAATGAGCCTAACTTAAATGCTGCAACGTATGTTTAAGAATAGTATAAAATATATGGGTATACTATCTATTATCAAATAGAGTTTCTAATTAGATATTACCTACAGATGAGGAAAATTCCGGACAAGTCATGGATAGATATCCCTAGGATTGAACGGTTTCGCGATCGACGTTATAGGGATGGATGTGAAGCCTTCATGAAGTATGCCGAAATGAACCCAAATAATTTAAGTAGCGGTGCAATGTACTGCCCCTGTTATATATGTAAGAATATGAAGCTGAAAAATAGAGATGAAATACGAAGTCACTTAGCAAACTCTGGGTTTTACGCTGAATATAAATATTGGTCCTACCACGGGGAAGGCTGTACTGAAATTGAAGTACCAAATGTGCATGTTGATGCCAGTCATGCTATTGATATAGATGATACAGAAAATTTACAAACTGAAGGTGGACCTAGCCATACCGAATACGATATTAACAATGACAGTGAAGATGATATCGTAGATGATGTCCAAGATGCAACTGAGATTCAAGATGTTGATGACCCAGAAGGCTTTGGAGATGCTCATATTCCTGAGGACTTGGATTGTATAATGAAACTACTAGAGGATAGTGAAGAGGATCTGTATGAAGGTTGCACCGAGTACTCCAGATTTTCATTTATGTTGGAGCTCTTGCATATTAAGAACCTCAGTGGAATGGCAAATACTTATTTCGAAATGCTTCTTGATTTGTTGCGGAAGGTAGTTCCAGGAGGAGAGCGTAGCATTCCTAAAACAACTTATGCGGCTAAGCAAATTGTTTCCGATTTGGGACTTGATTACAATAAGATTGATGCGTGTCCCAATGATTGTATTCTCTACTATAAGGATAATAAAGAACTTCAGGAATGTCCAACATGTGGAGTATCTCGATGGAAACAACGCACCCGCTCTTCAACAAGGCGGACAACAGAGTCAGTGTACATGCAGAGCAAGATTCCAGCTAAGGTGCTTCGCCATTTTCCATTAGTTTCTAGATTGCAACGTCTGTATATGAACAAAGACACCGCTAAGAGCATGAGGTGGCACAAAGAGGGTCGTATAGAAGATGGTAAGTTGAGACATCCAGCTGATGCAGAGGCTTGGAAGCATATTGATAAGACGTTTCCCAATTTCGCTCATGAATGCAGAAATGTCAGACTTGGGCTTGCTAGCGACGGATTCAATCCGTTCGGGGTTATGAGTTCAGGTTGGTCTACATGGCCAGTTGTCTTAATGCCATATAATTTACCCCCACTGCTTTGTATGAAACAACCGTATATGATACTCTCATTACTGATACCAGGTAAGCATGCACCAGGTAATGATATTGATGTCTACTTAGAGCCCTTAATTGATGAGCTAAAACAGTTATGGTTGGAAGGTATGTTGATATATGATGCACATGCAAAAGAGTCGTTTAGACTTCGTGCTATCCTAATGTAAACAGAAAAAAAACAACTTAACCGAGTACACGTTTTCCTTTTCTGTCAATGCTTAAACATCTATTTTCCTTCTCTCTTTTTCCTCTTAACCGAGTACAACTCTATTAATAATCTCTGGAAAAAACAAACTGTAAACAGAAAAACTAAACTAAACAGAATTCTAAAACCTGGAAACTAAACAGAGTTCTTATCTCCAAACAACTTAAAAATAAAATGACAGTGTTTGAGTTTATCCTTTAACACAGCCGGCTACGTGCCAACCGTGAACAGTGAGGTGTGGGTGTGTGCTGCATGCATACGGTTTAGTTCGAAAACGAGGTACTTAGTTTATCAGTGAAAGGGCTCTTAATTAGTTTTTAAAGCAGTAAATAGGTAATAATCAATCTTACGTCTCGTTCGAAAATAATTTTGCACGTTGGCAGAAACTGTCGGTGTCACTGTGACCCCTGAGTGCGACATTTAAGCAATATAGCTTTAATATTGTCGTACATATTATATACGGATCTGAGAACGACTCAGTACAGTTTAGGGGGGGGAAAAGATAAGGCAAATGGTAAATATATATTAACTTTTATACTGGGGATAGAAGTGGAAAGTTCAGGATTAGCTGTTTGTTTGCAGGCTTTTCATTTTATTATTATTAAAGTTGGCTGCGAATGCTATGGGTCCACTTACCTCTGGACTTGAATTTTTGCCTAAAAACGCGGAAGGAAACTGATCAATTCTCTTCTTTTCCCGTGGGGGAAAATTTCGCCACAGAAAACTAAACTCAGATCAGTCTCCAGCTCTACTCACTCCTAGCATGTTTTTTTCTACTCTACGGAATGATATAAATACAAGTCAAAGCTAATTTTTCAACAAAATACTAGATTGGTAATAAAACTTAATTTTATATTCTTTTTACTGTGTGCATATTTGCATTTAGCTTTTATTACGTTTCATACGTACCGTAAATCTTTTTTATTCTCGACATTTGTATATTAAGTAAAAGACCATTTGGCGAAATGGTTTTTACCCCCTTCTTCTTCTTCAATTATTATTCATTATTTGGATGTATGTTGCGCGCAGCGAAAATTTCGGCAGCACTTCTGCAGCACAACAAGAGAGTCAGGTCGCAATAAGAATTCTTGTTTCTCAAAGGGAACAAGAATCTGAAGCCTATATCCTATCAAAGTAGGATATTAGCTCTTCCTCTCGTCAGCTCTAGGACTGCGCGTCGAGGGACCCTAAAAGCTATTACAAATCACACAAAAGCAGTACAACCAATTTTAACGTGGTTCGGCAAATTGCCTACGTCCACAGGGCAAGGAGGGGGGAGATCTACTAATAGAGGGAGAGAATACAACTAGGGTTTACAATCACTCTCAATCTAAACCCTCAAACAAACTCTCAAATCCCTCACAAATATCTCTCACAAAAGGATGCACAAACCCTAACAAAAAAGGCTACACAAAATCAAATTCCCTTTACTCAAACCTCCTGTGCGTGCACACTGTAGCCGCCAACAAGTCCTCCTGTGCTCTGCCTCCTTCGCTCAACCCTAGGAACAATATTTGTTCCTTTATATAACCGAAGAATCATGCGGTTTTGTGGTAAAAAAAAACGAACTTGGGCTCACGCGGAAAAGCCCACAAACTCCATTCTCTCAATTGTAAACGATTCATGGGTGGCCCCCACACCCACGTGATCACAATTCTCCACCTCGGTGAAGTTTCTTCTAAAACTGAGCCGACACCAAATGCATCCAAATGTCCCACTTGTTGTGTCCAGTACGAACCCAATCCATAACAAGTCGAGGACCCGAACGAGAGTCCAAACAATCTCACCCACATCAAAATCAACTAATCCAAACCGACTGCATCTCAAAGACTGTCTACGTATCCTCTTGCCCAAGGAATCAAGCCGAACGTAGTTCACCCAAATGGCCGCCAACGGCCTCAACAATCACGAATATGCACGCCAAATAGATAGCACTCATGCTATCACAATGAATAGTGACGGACCTCTGCGATATACCAAGTTCCTCCAAAAGTCCTCGAAGCCAAATAGCCTCCTTCACAGCCTCCGTAACTGTCATATACTCTGCCTCCGTCGTAGACAAAGCCACCGTCGACTGTAAGGTGCATCTTCAACACACCGGCGCACGGGTCAAAGTGAACACATACCCCGTCGTAGACCGGCGCTTATCCAAATCCCCAGCATAATCCGAATCAACATAGCCAATGCATAGCTGCCCACCTGTAGTGTCCCGCTCATAAACCAAACCAACATTGAGCGTACCTCGAATGTACCTCAAAATCCATTTCACGGCGTCCCAATGACCCACTCCTGGATCGTGCATGTATCTCGATACCATGCTTACTGCCTGTGACAAATCTGGTCTCGTACATACCATTGCGTACATCAAGCTCCCAACCGCGCTCGCATATGGAGTCTTCGACATCAACTCACGATCTTCAACTGACTTTGGTGAAAGACCAGCTGAAAGCTTCAAATGGGCTCCCAATGGTACACTAACTGGCTTCGTATCCATGCTAACATGGAATCGCTGTAGAACTTTCTTCAAATAAGCCACCTGTGTCAAACAAATTCTGCCCTTCTTCTTGTCTCTGCCGATCTCCATTCCCAAAATGCGTTTGGCCTCACCCAAGTCCTTCATCTCAAACTCATTTGAAAGCTGAACTTTCAACTCATCTATAGCCGACCTGGAAATAGAGGCAACCAACATGTCATCGACATAGAGCAACAAATAAATGTACGCACCTCCTTTCAACTTGCGAAAATATACGCAAGGATCAAACTGGCTCCGAGTGTACGAATGACCAAGCATAAAACCATCGAATCGCCTATACCACTGTCGAGGAGACTGCTTCAAACCGTATAGCGATTTCTTCAGTTTGCAAACTAATTTTTCCTTCCCTGCAGCTCGGAATCCCAATGGCTGAGTCATATATATTTCTTCATCAAGATCACCATGAAGAAATGCCGTTTTCACATCCAACTGATCTAATTCCAAACCATACTGTGCCATCAAAGCTAGCAAAATCCGAATCGAAGAATGCTTCACCACCGGAGAGAAAACCTCATTATAATCTATCCCTTCCTCCTGTGCATAGCCCTTCGCAACCAACCTAGCCTTGAATCTCAACGGAGTGCCTTCAATGCCCTCCTTCTTCGTGTATACCCACTTGCAACCAATTGCCTTCCGCCCCTTTGGAAGCTCAACAAGCTCCCATGTATCGTTCTTATGAAGAGATTCCATCTCCTCCTGCATAGCCCCCTGCCACGAATCAGCCTCCGAACTCTGCTCGGCCTCTCTGAATGTAGTAGGCACTAACTCATCGATACTCTCCACCGGAAGTGCATACGCAACTGTGTCGGCATACCGTGCTGGCATCTGTATGTTTCTCCTCTGTCTCCTAGCCGCAATAGAATCCTGAACCTGAGCCGTCGGTTCCTGATCCTGCACATTTGTACTCGTATCCTCCGTGTCATCGTCGTGCTCGCCTGGCGTCACCTCAGTCGGCACCTGCATGGATACTGTAAGAACAAAACGTAGGGTTCACCATTGCATTTTCAGACTCAAACGCAGGATTCACCATTGCATTTTTAACCCCAAACGTAGAGCCCAACTCCGCGTCTGAAGTTCAAGACGTAGAGTTCATTTCTAGAACGCGGATTTCGTGTTTGACTCGTTTAAACACGAGCTGAACGGTTCCAAAACCATTTCCCGTGATTTGAGGGGGATTACACCCCCACTAAGGAGCGATTTTAGGGGTTAGTTAGACCCCTTAATCCCCTATAAATAGCTAAAAATCAGTTTAAATCGGATATTCTAGCAGATTGGGATCAGCAGCAAAGATCTCTTTGGAGGGGGGACCTTTGATGATTTTCGGATCTGAAGGTTCGGATCTTAGCTTGGGATCTTTGGTTCGGATCTTAGTGAGGGGGGAGAGATCTGGGGATCATCCTAGAGGATCGGCTTTTGGGATCGCCTTGATTTTGGCTTTGAAGGTGGGATTTTCGAAGCATCTTGATCAGCTCCAGTTTAACTTGTCTAGAAAGTTTATTTCAGCTAAAAGGGATTGAAATCTCTTTTTCAAATCAACTCTTTTGCAGAGTTTTCAACTTGCTCGTCAAGTTCTTCTAAGCTCGTTCAGAGTTCTAAAATTTGCTTTGCAAGTTCGTCCAAGTCGTCGAGTCAAGAGGCGAAGACCAAGTTTCACAAGGTGAAGCATTCGGATCGTCAACGGGATACAAGAATCAAGCTCCCATCGACACCAAGAAGAACCTAGTTTTAAATAAATGGCAGGGTCTCTGTTGATCCCTTCTCTCTTTTGTAAATCGAGAAACCGATATATAGGAGTTATAATTTCTTTTTCTAAATCAGTTAGAGAGAGATTGCAAAGAGAGATTGTATTCATTCTTTTCCTAAGTCAGTTAGGGAGATTAATACAAAATTTTATTCTCATTTCTTCTTTAATTTTTCAAAGAACAATAATCAAATATCAAGAACAATCAACAAGGAATATGCAAGATATTATAGCAGTTCGGATGACAATCCTATGTCTACTCTTCCTTTTCAAGAAGAGACTTGTTCGTTATGCAAAGAGCTAACTTGAATCACAATCCCGATTTAGTAAACTTACAAGACCACACATTAGAATCCGTACAAAACCATTCGTCTAACCTAACTCCCACAATGAGTAACTCCAATTTGAGTACATTGTCAAAGAAGCTTAAAGCAAAACCAAAAACAATAATTAAAGCTTAGCATATAAGAAATATCTTATAGTCCTTTTGTTAAACAAACTGTCCTTCAAAAATATAAGCGTAGCTCGATGAGGAACAGTAAAGAAGATCAATCTAACAGCAAATTTCCTTGTTGAAAAGATATGAAGATGTTGTGCGTGACGAGTGAGAACTTGACGATGCTTCAATGGTAAAACTCTTCAACATAATCTCTCACAAATCAAAACCATAGAATTCTTCCCTCTCTTT